AGTAGAATCAAATAACGATCGTCAGACGCATGAGTAAAAATCGACAGCAATCTGTCAAGAAACAGACTTCGATCTCATATAACTTGACATATCTATAATGAGATAATAGTATAATACTTGTTTTGTCTATTTTTCTAGATTTATACACTATATACAATATTATAGACTACGTGTACGATTTCGCAATATTATCATCGTTTTTTAATTTGCTTACCTTACGTGAAAATAAAATTCTCTCGATGAAAAAAATAGGGGAAGGGTTGGGGTAATATTTCGTAGAATTCAGGAACATTACCTATATTATGTATTATATTACATCTTTCTAGTCTTACTAATATTATGTAACATCAATGACACTTTGAGAATAGAAATATGATTAGTTTGATAATATGGTAAAATATTATGTACCTACGTTACTTCAAGAACAAGACACCAGATTCCTGTTTTAATCGAACTAATCCATTAACTATAAATTAATTTTGTTTTACTTATCATTAGATTTTAAAATAAACTTGGGGTATGAATACACTTAAATAAGACAAAAATATCAACGATGCAAAATGAGGAAATGACGTCTATATAGTAATATAATATTGTAAGACATTTGTAACAATTATATTGTACTCAGTTCGCCAACATAAATTATTGAAATGTAATTTATGCAATTCACTTTATGTGCATTGTGTCGGATTTGTTATATTTAACGAATTTAATTTTAACTGTTACTATTTAAACGACGTTTATAATATTTATACATTAAGGTCTAAATGACGCCATTGTCTTAGTTTGTTTGGATGTAAACAGTAATAAAAGAAGTTTTAATAATTCAATTAAATAGTTTTGTAAGCGAAAAATATGCATCTTGAAAATCCTGATTGTCTGCCTAATTCAAATCCGAATAATTTACAGCAGAGTTTGAAGTTAATCGTTTGAGGTTGTGCCCAATTGTCATGTCCTACCCTATCTCCCTTAAAAGAACAACTTAACTTCCCCTTACGCAAATTGCCTATGACATTCGTCTTTACAAATTTGGCTCTGTATTGTAAAATCGGAGTGTCTCGAGGCTGTTACGCGATGTTATTAAACAAAGATAATATTATTTTCGAAACTGAGTAAAAAAGAAAAATTGTCATCGCAGTTATTAACTTAAGACTGTGGACACTGTGAACTTCGATGTTTTATATTTATATATACTTACATATTGTTAATAGTTTATTATATACGAGTGTAATATCTTAACATACAGGTACTATGTTAGTTAGATAGGTATTGTCACGCATGTATCTCATGAAATTTCGTTTGATCAATTTTTCACAACGAAGCAATAACACCTATATTTATCATTGTAAAATATGTTTATTCATAAAATATTGTTATACTTTACTTACCTATATTAAGTTTGTAGTTTGTAAGCTACAATGGCCAGTTTATTTGGTAATCTGGTAAATTAATATTCATACAGTAGAGAAAAGAATTCCAGAATTAACAACGATTCCTAATCGTTTGGGTCCTTAGAGATAGCAATAGTATGAGAAAGTAATTAATTACTAACTCACACTATAACTAATGAATAGGCGTGAAATAAGTCCACGTGCTGACTGCTGAACGGTTTTTTATGAAATTTCACACTAGACATCTCACTAGAATTAATTTATATAGATAAATTTCAGTATATTTTCTAATTTTCTATAGAGTGATACTATTCCGGACGTACAACAAATTTCTCTCTATTTTAGATTTATATAACAATACATAATTAAAGGCGTCAGTGCAACAACAAAACAGCTCTTATCTTCTAAAATGTTCAAGAGTGCTATGCAGACATTCATCGAATACAATAGGTAATACAAATGCTGCTCGCAATAATAATCTGCAGATGAACGAAAATCGTCGAATGGTTCAAATGTGAGATTTAAAAATTATTATCATTTCTCTTCTGTTGACGATCTTCTCGTTTCTCAAACTAACAATAAGTCGAAACTTTTTGTTTGAAAAATGTACTATTGGTGGTATATACATGTATTGATATATTGGATTTAGTAATATAATATATTACAATATTATTGTTATTTATTGCATTCCTCAAAATACTTTATTTGATGAAAACTGAATTGAAAATTACAAGTACAGAAAAAAAGCTGTGTCGGCTGATATCCCATGAGCTGGCACTAAAAATAATGTTTTTCCCTTGTACTTTAACAGTAATAAGGTCGAGGAAAAATATCCAAGAGAGAGAGAAAGAGAGCTTTGAAGTAAAGCACACTCTTCCGGCGTAACTTTAATCGTCTGCTGTGTAAAATCTACGAGTACTACTACACTATTTGCATAAAACGCAGTTAATTGTCTCGTATTGTTTTATTATATGTATATACGTTATTAACAATGGAAATAGTTATTCGGTTTATGTTAATAATATATAATTATACAAATGCTATTTTTATTTTATTTTTAAATTTCAAATTTATCAATAATGTCAACAATTATTAATGTAAGTAAAGTCGATAAAACGTAATTTAATAATATTATATTATTCATGTGGGAGCTCTCCCGTGTTGAGATACCCAGAAACAAAAAGCAAACTTAACTGCTAACTAAGCCACCCACCTCAATATTTTATACGATTATACCTAACCACAACCTCAGAGACACTCAATACAATCAACTTCAAAACCAAGGAAGCATGGCAGATTGGAATAAAGTACTGATTAGAAAAAAAATGACTCCTTCTTCTTCACTAAAGATTCAACCCCTACATGCGACACGTGCAAGAAAATATTATAGACCATTCAATTGTAAACAAATGCTCGAAATTAACTGAAGTACGAAGAATTTTTACTTCCCCAGCCTCACTCCAACATTCGCACTTAACGAAGAAAATACGAAAACAATATATTTATTTTTCATAAAATATACTTAAGCCAAAACATTGTAAATAATATTAGGTACATATTTTGTTTTATCCATAACCTACATATCTAATCTAAAAGTTGGCTAATAACCATAATTTCTGTTGAAGCCTTTTACATGTTTGTTATTTCAATATTATTTAACATATTGTAATATATAAATAAGTTAGTAAAAACAACATTTTTGGGCTACACAAGTTTTGTTCACTTTTCTCATTTACTGACAAACCTCAATAATACTCATATCATCCGTGGTAGGTGTTCGAACTTTTCGAGTTATTGTAATATAAGATATAATATTACCATTGTAAACATTTTTGATTCCTACTGGCTACTCGAACTAGATTTTGTAAATCGTAATTCTACCCAACAGTCGTTTTACATATTTACATATCGTCGGCCTAACTCGCAAAAGTCGTATCTCCATTTTTTGTCATTTTGGGATTATTTACTCATAAAATAAAGAAAAAAAACTGCGTCTGTTGATTCAATCAAATTTCTGATTTCATAATATTATCCTCCATGAAATTGATAATTAGAAATCGTCGTATCTCCAATTAATAATATGGCCGTAAAACGTTTTTTTCTTCTCCTGAACAATTTGTAATTTTGGACATACGACCTTTGCGAATTAGGACGAGCCTACAAATGCCATAGTTTCGGTGGCAAGTATTACTGTTGCGGAGCCACTGTTGTTCATGCATTAATTCGATATCTACGTGTGTGATAAGATAACATTTAAATATTTACAGCTTGAATTTAAATATTATAATCATTATTATTAATACAAGTAAATAATAAAATTAAGCATTGTAATTTTTATATCCTAAATTTAAATTATTATACTTATAACAAAAAATGTAAGAATAATTCTAACATGTCCTACGAAAAAAAAAAAAATAATAATAATTTATTAAACTTTATCTAATACGTCCTACAAAAATATAATACAACATAAAATTAATATAATTAATTTTAATTCAATATTGTTTGTTACTTTTTTTTCGCAGTTCATTACCCGAACATAATTCATAATAATGAATAATTCAAATTTATCTTGATTGTAATAACGATCATTGATATTAAACTATTAAAGATACAATTATATACAACGCAGGAATTCCTATATATGGACAATGTATATAGATAAAGTTTAATAAATTATTATTATTATTATCTTTTTTTTTTTTTTTGTAGGACGTGTTAGAATTTTCATTATTACATTTTTTTTTTTTTTAAGTATAAGTATAATAATTTAGATTTAGGATATAAAAATTACAATACTCAATTTTATTATTTACTTATATTAATAATAATGATTATAGTATTTAAATTCACGCGGTAATTATTTGAATGTTATCTTATCACCGACGTAGATATCGAATAAATACATGAACAGTGGCTCCACTACAGTAAAACTTACCACCGGATCTATGGCATTTGTAGGCTCGTCGAATTAGGCCGACGATATGAAACCCTGAAAATTAGTATCATATTTGCGAATATTGTATGCTAATTTTGTAAAAAGTATTTAAATTAGTTTCCCTATATAGTAAAGGTTCAGAGTTATAAATTATATTTTTTCAACAGAGTTTACAAGTTTTCGATACATTTAAAAGCTTAAGATTTTAGACAACCAACTTTTTACCAATTCACATTATCGATAACTTTGACAGCTATTGTCATTTGTGGTATAGGTGTTTAAAGTTTGAAATGTTGAACACCATGGTTTAACCGATATTAATTATAGTGATCGATATCGATATGTTGTAGCCGGTATAAATGTTTTAATTGTGTTTACAATAATTAATTACCAATTATTGAATTACTCATTGGAACTATATTGTTATTATTATTAATGGCTTCTTGCTTACATCAGTGATTCCCAACATTTTTTATTTCTGCCCCCCCCCCTTGTAAATTATCTAAAAATCACACGCCTCCCCTTTAATTAGAGGTTATTAATTCATCATCACTATAACCCCTCCCCCTCGTGCAGTATCTGAATCCCCCACATCGGTTGGCTTACAATTTTACCGATCAGATAAACCTTGCAACTGAAATAATATCAATGATTTGTTGTGTGTTGTGCAGATGACGTTCGCAACGCCATCGAGGCAAACGCTTACTTCATGCTCGAAGGACGGTGTACTTGCATGCAGCGACTCCGGGTCCGTAAGACGACAGAATATGGCCGCAACCGTTTCAAGCTGATCCGTGACCTTGGCGGTGACGGCCAATCACATCCGGACCTACAGAAAAACGTACAGACGGTCTACGTGAAGATGACAGATCTACGACCGGGTTCGGTTTTTGGCCTAGGTGAGACGTATGACATATTTCAACTATACATTGTCATTGGTCAATGGCTATATTATAGTGCTTACTAAGCATTATTGGTTCCGAGAAGATGGAACGTACCTTGAGATAATTTGTCCGTTCGCGGTGGCGAATGTTTTGTCTCGAGAAATAAATATTTTAATGGTGTTTGTTAATAACTTTTTAAAAAAAACATCACTCCTCTGGTGTCCAGGCACAAGTTCGGGGAGTGTGTGTAGAAAAAATATTGCTGGGAAACCTCAAACCTATGAGTAGGTATATATTTTAAAGCCACGATGGGAGTGTTCTCATCTGTTTGGTGTTAATAAAATTAGGACAACAAGCTGAAAAATGTTTTGAAATAATATTATATTCATACTTTGTTATCTATTTCGATTGTTAATTGGTTCAAATAATTACTTAGGTATACTTGTCACTTATTTATTTTTATTATTATTCAAATACTGATTGAAATATTGTAGAAAAGAACTTTAATTGATTATGAAAGTTCCTCAATAATAACAACGAGTTAAACAATTATAATTCTATACTTCAACATTTAACCGTGTCCATACTAAACGACCAACGCGAAATTATTATTCAATGGATTCTGTAATGTTTATTTGCAAAACACTATAGTGTCTCCACTCTCCACTCGTCAGTAATCATTATTGATTAAATGATTCTTTGTCGGTAGGCTGCAGTCTGGCTACTATAATAATATGTCTGCATCTATATATATGCCCCGAAAATAAATAAGTAAATGATGATGAGAGGGACTACGTCACAAATCACAATCGTTGCCGAGAATGGCCAAACAACAATGATTGATGGCCTTTAATTTCGATACCAACGTATTATCATTCTTTAAACGCCTTTCATTTGGTGGATTTTGTACTTAGAGAGCTGAATCAGGCACTGTCAATTTTATTTTGGTACAGAGAAATAATACTTCGCGATGTTTACAGTGAGGGCTTCCATTAAAATAAAAATGAAATTGTTTAAATTGCTCACTGGTACTTTAACTAGGTCGGGTGCGGGTGAAGTTCATAATATTCTGAATAATGTGGGTTTTCATAGATAATATAATAAATAAGGAACTCAATTATAACTCTGCGAATGAGGTATATTAATTGTATGTATTTAACACGTGTTACGTGCAGCTATATAAAAGTGTAATAATATTATATTTAGTTTAATTGACGTTAATTAAGGTTTAATTAATTGAGGTAAAATAAAAAACAAAATTAAAAAACTCATTTAAAATGTAACGAAAACGAAATGGTTTGACAATAACGGTAAAACAGATATAATGTTATGATTTATGAGTTTGGGAGTTTATGATCTATTCTGTTATAAATTAGATTATTACTATTTGATTTATATCATTAAATCATCTTTAGATATTCTTCCCTTAAATCCATAAACTAAAACGGAATCCTAGTAGGTAATAAGTGTCAAACACGCCTGCCGGAAAACTATTATTTTTCCAGAACGAGACGATACCCACGCCCAACCAATACAATTTGAAACCATTATAAACAATTTTGAAAATCATCATGTTTATTGATAAAATAAATTCGTATTTTGTCCGTCCACAGGTGAAAGGCGGTCGGGGCGAATAGTGATGGCCACGGCCGATGTCAAGTGTTTGCTGGTCCCTTTGGCATTCCTCGCCAAGCACAACGCGTCCAACATCTGGGGCCGGACTGTGTGCTCCCTGAACAGTACCAACCCGACGGCCGAACAGTCGTTCCGGAAGTTAGTCGTGGAAAACAGATGGGCAGAGTACAAGAAGTCGTTAGCAGACGACTTGTTCCGGAAACGCCGACCATAGTGTTGTTATTATTATTATTATGACCACTGTGAATAATATTATTTTTTATGTTATTTTTACGAACGACGTGGTGTAGTATAGTCGTATCGTGTTTTTTCTTTTTATTATGACTAAAGAGGTTAACTACCTACCTTTGGTTTAAGTAACCTATATAACGAGGTTTTGTCTTTTTATCGTGCTTGTCGTTAAATTTACAATAGATTACATATAAAATATGCGTGTTCACGGTATCCAAAACTACTGCAAGTGGGAGAAAAAAGTTTTATTGTTTGTGTTTAATATACGCACACGCACACGTACAATACATATATTACAATATTATATAGGCTTTGTTTTGATGGACCATGCAAACAATACGCCAAGCGCACCGCTTTTAACGGTAAGCTTTTCGTCGAACGGCAATTCGGTCAGATGGTAATAAAACAAGTATCGTCGCACGCGTATCCATGAAGGACTGTTGCAGTATTATCCGTCGACCGGCTTACGTTATCGACAAATTTTTACACCAGTTTCGAAAATTTGTTGAGCCCTTTGATCTTGCAATGTTTCGATGTCCCATCCTGAGCTAACCTAACCCAACAGCCAACCTATACTATCCTAATAACGTGTTTCGTGGAAGAAAACACCAACAGTTTTATCGTAGTGGAATAAGTATAAGACGTGTCCACTGTCCAGCGATTATGATTTCATTCAGACGCACATCAAAATAGTCTAAGGTACAAGACTACATCGGATGTAAGATCTTTAATTTGTATTGAATTAGTAATTTATATATTATCTTGTATTAGATAAGTGATGTATCAAGAATTATTTCAGAGAATTTTTACGGCGCCAAAAATGTGTGTTCTTTTAAAATTAGAGAAAAACACCATAGACATATTAATAATATTCAAATATTTTTTTTTTCACTACTAATAATATGTCTATGAAAAACACTCATCATCTTAAGACCGATATATTACTATGATAGCAACTCTTTCAAATCACGATCCGTTATCAGAATTCGAATTCGAATAGATTATCTTCGTCAGATAGACATTAGTAGGTACACTACTATTAGATACTTATGCTTTTGATCGTGGTTTTTTTTTTTTTTTTTAATAAATCAATCACAACATAAGCTGCGTGAAGATTACACAATCGGACAATCGGTTGACGCGACACGTGTAGTATTATTTACATATTTCACGCATATAGGTACCTATATGTATTATAAATTATAATAATAAAATACTGTATAAATACGAGTGTATAACAATATAAAAACACGCACAGTGAAAATGTTATATAATTTATTTTATTGTTTTCATTAGAAATAACACGATACGTTTTTTAAATGGTTTTTTTTTTACAATAATTAACTTATTACATATTATATTATTATGTGTATACATATTTTATTATTATAGTATGATATTCGAATAAAGATAAGTAACAGATTCTCTCCTTATACACAATGTATCGATGTTAAAATATCATTATTTCATATAGGCTTATATCATGTAAAAATGTAAACACAGATTATACAAAAACACAAATAAATGATTGGGCGACGACAACATATTTTGGACTCGGTAACCGCACAGCGTCACTCGAAAAGGATTTTGTAAGAACTACATTCAAAATATATGTATATTACATATTACAGTACATATTATATCGTAGTATAATTATTATTGTTGTATTGTTTTTTTAAAAGCGGTTTATGTCGCACACGATACAGTACGATAAATCTTACGACGCGACCATAATATTATAAACATAATAATATGTAGTATCTAAATTCTACCTATAATAAAAGATAATTGTTAAGGTTTGGTTTTCTGTGGGTGGCAAGCTAGTCGTATTCACATTGGTACTAAAAATTTTTACAGTTAATACATTTTGGTTTAAGAAAAGTCATGCTGGCTATAATTATTTCTTTCAGCCAGGTACACCTGGTAAGATAATGAGAACTTACAATCAATATTAATAATAATATGCACTGAGATTCACCAAGCATGCTCACCCCCCATTTTTCCTTCATTAATGAATTTATTTAAATTCTGATTTTTAACATTTTTATGAATAAACTTAAATACCATTAGTCAAATTCTTGATTTTTTTTGTACTATAGGAATGGTGATACAAACTTCTGTTCTTAAAACGCGAACCCCCTTTTTTACTTAACATTTTTTAGTGGATATTTTTTTGAAACTGTTGATATATCTTATTAACAATTTTAATAAATAGTTTCTCAGTTATTTTCATATTTATACTAAAGATAATAGTCCTTAAAAATGGTTTTACAAAAATATAAAATGGATGTAATATTGAATCTAGTATTTATTATAGGTATAATTGGACATTTTTACAAATTATTAATGTTGATGGATTAATATTATTAACTACTAAGATTTTCAAATCATAATATCCCCAATAGCATGTACCTATTATCCTTAGATCACAAAGTTAAATAACACGAAAACTACTAGTTCGAATTTTAAATCTGCTTCGTCGACATTTTCAGAAACAGTATTCACTAAATAATTACGGGCTAAAAGAAGGATTCTCATTTAAAAAACAGAAGCTTGTAACTCCATAGTCCTTAATTAATACAAGAAATCTCAAGAATTTGAAAATAATATGTATATTTAAAAATATCAAAAATAAGTTTTTAAATAATAATTGTATTTTGAAAAAAAAAAAAAAGAGGGAGATGAATCAACCGTATAATTCTCCCAAAATTCCATCAAATATAATCATATCTTCCAGTGTCTCACTAGACGATTGTGTTGAATATCGAGGTTCATCTGGTTTGCATTAAAATTCCAAATCCATTCTGATTCATAGCCATAGCAGTGTGAATAAAACTGCACACATTTTCACTCCAATCCTACTCCGCAGAATGGTTAGGTACACATTATAATATCCCTGTGTGCATAAAGAAGAACTTACTGTCTATGTGCCGTCTGTTTTTGTTCTCAAAAGTGACGGTACATTGTAACTTATATGTACCTTCAAATATACGTATAAGAATAAAATGTCATTATGATACCGATATATAACTTCTTGCCGTAGCTGTATATGAGAATTCCATATGTAATATCACATAGACGTTACTATTGAGAAGTTAAAATGATTGATGATATGTGACATAACTGAGAAGTTACAATAGTTACGTATAAATAATTGTTATATATAAAATACATGATGATAACACCCGAATGTGGTTTTTGGACTTTTAAATAATATATAGTATATACATAATAATAATCAATATATTATCGCACCATACAAATTATAATTTTAATAATTATATTATATATCATTTTATTATCTTTTTTATTTTTTATTTTTTTAGTATCAAGTATCTATAATATTATAGCCTATATTATAGAGACGAATGCACGATATTGAAATTATGTTAATCGACAACTAGGTATGTATCGTTATGATGGTCTTGAGAGTGTGGCGCGGGTACGGGGTAAATGGGTATAGCCGTATATCGCGAAGAATCGGAACGAAAATAGAATAAGCTGATTGCTGATAACAAAAATAAATTGTGAATTATTGTTTGTTAGCTACATAAAATTATTATTTCTACACTACATACAATCATTTTAGGCATAAACATTGTGTAATATACCAATATCAAATGTTTACAATTCATCATGGTATTATATGTATTTTTGTCTGTTTTCATTTATTCTTAAAAAAAATATCGGACCAAATTATATTATATAATACGGCCAGTGCCAACCAACTGACCTGGCCAGTCCCCCCTTGATACAGTATATTATGGCCTTTGAAGAATGGAGAGTCCAATAATCTTTGATGCTCTAGTAAATATATCACCGTCCATAAGTACATAATAATATAATATACATAAATATACAATATATAGGAACAATCCTACAATCATTATTAGTTATTGTTGCAGGTACCACAGAATGGGGGGGGGTACGTGGAGTTTACTATTATATACCTTCCGACTGCTTATGTATTTTATATACACCATATTACACTTCGCCATTCATCTTGATAGGTGGTGTCCCAATAGGTTAGGCGTAGGTCAATAAATGTAGGGGTAGCAGGTTCGAATCTTCGTGGATCAATCCGCGGACAGGTAACAGTGAATACATTTTTTTGCTTTTTTCCCCTGGACTTTGTGCACTTTATGCGAAGTCTATGCGATATCTCAAATTGATTTCTCATGGAAGTTACAATGTGATGAAACATAGATGATTATTTTGCGACATCTCATGCACTAACTTCTCAAAACCGGGCATTAAGCGTCACAGTAGTGTCTCAGAGTAGTCTCTGAGTCAAAATTATTAACTTCACATGTCTCAATGTGACTAATATGTAATGTCTATGAGAACATATTTTGCACACATTTTCACTCCAATCCTACTCCGCAGAATGGTTAGGTACACATTATAATATGAATGTAACGGACGACAAAGTAAATTTCCAGATTTAAAACGAGTGATGTAAAGAAATGTTTGATCATTGAATTTAACTGAAATATTGGGAATGAAAAGTGCAAATATACGAACCAAATAATATGCCAATAAGTTCAATTTTAAAATCAAACTAATTAAATCAAAATTGGTACTGAGTTTTACGAAGAACCATAAAAAGTAATATAAAATAATTGTTTAGGTGAATATTATTGTTATTTATCAAGATCGTTTTAACAACTGCAATTTTTTTTTTTTTTTGTTTAATTTCTGTTCGACTTAACAGTTTGTTTTGGGTTTGATTAGTTCTCAAAAAACAAGGTGCGTATGTAACATCTACCTAGTAACAACTACTATAATCATTATAATTCCCTACCCCCTCTCCAGTAGAACAATCCTCCTCAACTCTCAAAAAACCGTTGGACATTCGAGGACCGTGTGTCTCATTATTTATTTCTTTCATTAATACAAGTGCAACCAAAAAACATGACCGAAAATGTTAATAGCAAACAGCATAAATAAATTACGTATACCAACAAAGTATATACGATTAAA